GGTTTGGGTGGGGCGCACTCATCCAGTGGTGCGATGAGGGTGGGCCCTGGCAGGCTAGTTGGTCAGTAGCCAGACACACATTCAGTGGGTTTGGTGGTTGTAGCCCAGAGGGCTGGAGCCAAGGGGCCCAGGGTATTGGCAGAGATGCAGTACTGGCCGGGGTGTGGTCATGCAGGCGGGACCATCCTGGACAATGATAGGGGTGCTCCGCCCTGGGGTGCTGTTCAGTGTGCGTGCGGTTCCACTGGTAGATCACCAGCACAAGATTGCCTGTGGGCTTCACCACTCACTCGCAACGCCGGCGAGGCAGAACAGCGCCAGGGCGGCGGCAGCCAGGACGATGGTGGTGCGGGCCATGGTGGCGGATGTGGACGGGTCAGCGGGGTGGTGGGCGCAGAAGAATGTTTGGGGTCCGCTTGTACCCTGTATTTATAGCAGGGCATGACGCGAGAGCGATCGCACCCGAGTGACTCGTTCTCACCGGCCATTACGACATACGCTCGGGTGAGTGTACGTTCTTCGGAGCGCACCATGAGGGGCGAGCGTCATGGCCTAGAGTACGTCACGTGCCAATGCGGCATATTGGCATTAGCAATGACGCGCCCCACGCTGGCGATCGTGGTGTCGCTCCTGGCCTCCGCAGCGGCACTAGCAGCGGGCGCGGTACCTGCGTACAGCGTCCGCGCGCTGGGCGGCGCGAGTGACATTCTAGGCGTGTCAGGCCTCTTCTATGATCCGACCGATGAGATCGGCGGCGTCGCTCGCCCGCCGCCGCTCGTCGTCATGTGGGGCGGGTTTGCTCAGCCCGCGTCGGCCACGCACGGCTATGCGCATGTGTTTGCGTCCAGCGGCCTGGCAGTTCTCGCCCTGGATGACGCCTTGGCAGCAGAACCCAGCGGTGGCGGGCACAAAGCGCCGACCCTGAGCCGCGCCAGCCGGCGCCGCGCCGAGGCCGAGGCGGTGCGGCGCCTGGCAGGGGAGGGGGCCGTCGACGCTGCGCGCGTGGCGTACTGGGGCGTCGAGCACGGGGCGGCGGCTGCGCTGGAGGCGGCGCTGGCGGCGCCAGAGGGGCAGGCACAGATCATCGTTTTGCAGGTGCGGGTGACAATGGATTCCATGAATCCGTGTCTCAGACCCTGGGCCCTCGGCTGGCGGTGGGCAGGCAGCACCGTGGCTCCGCCAGCACGTGAGGCCCCAGCAGGCATGCATTGCGTGCAGCTGCTGGCACTCAGCAACCTACGCGCCACCGGCTGCAGCGCGCTCAAAATACCTGCTGCGCAGCGGCGTCACCCCCCCTCGCCGCCGCCCGCCCACGCAGACCCCGTGGCTGGGCGCCGCGCGTGCCCACGCGTGGCGCCACCTGACGGCACGCGGCTGGGCGCACGCGGCCAAAGCGCTCGCGGTGGCCACCGCGGACGCGGCCGCGGCGCTGCTGGGCCTGCCGGCTGTCGCGGCCGTGCCATTGGCCGGCCCGGCCGGGTCCGGGGCCCTGCTGGAGCTCCCGCCAGCCGAGCTGGCCGCGCACAGGGCCGCGGCCGCCGCGCGCCTGTCGACTCTGGAAGCCCGTGCAGCAAAGGTGGGCGCGGGGGCCAGTGACCGCCTAGCGACCCTGTCTGTGGGGATGCCCTGCACGGCTGCAAATGGCGGTGCCCCGCCCTCAGATTCATAATGCTGATTGGATGGCCGGACTGCCCGGACTGCTGGGCTTGCGGCTTGTGACGCTCGCGCCCAACAGGCACGCCCTCCCTGTCCCTCCCCTCCGCCGACGCTTCCCACCTCCACCGCAGGATGCTGCAGCCGCCCTGCCCGCCGGCAGCGTCCGCGCCGCGGCGCTGCTCGAGCTGTTGTTTACAGGCGACCCCGTGCGGCGCCTGCTGCCAGAGCTCCCCACCCACCTCGCATTCTACGCGGCGACCGGCGACGAGGACGCGAGCGGGGCTGATTACACGCGGACGTCGAAGCTGGGGCGGTACGTCAGCTTCCACGCGGTGCGCGCGGGGCGGTACGGCCTCCTGGCAGCAGGGCTCGGCGTCGCGGGCAGCGAACGTGCAGGCGGACGGGGCGGCGGCGGCGGCGCGGGCGGCGGCGGCCAGCCAGTGGCGAGCCCGGACAGGGAGGCGTTTGAGGACGCGGTGTTGGACCAGGCCCTGATGTTGGCGGCGCTGCTGGGCCGCCGCGACGACGGCGACGCAGGGGGGCCTGTGGAGCCGGACGGCGAGCGGGACGCTGCGGCTCCGCCCCTGAGCGGGGCGGGCGAGGGCGGGGCGGAGCCGCCGGGCGGCCAGGCGGCGGCGGGACAGGTCGAGGAGGCGGCGCCGGAGGCGGCGGCGGCGGGCGCGGGCGAGGACGCGCCGGAGCTGGTGGCGGGGCCGCCGGGCGCTTGCCAAACGGACGATACAGGCGGGTCGTGCCCCAACCAGGAGGCCTCGGAAGCGCGTGGCACAATCCAGTTTCACTTGCAAGTGGTTTCGAGGCGCGTGCAGCTCGCCTTGCAGTCACTCTGATTGAAATTGAAGTGTGTTTTGCCCATGGAAATGTCCAGCGTCAAGGAAACGCCACCCCTCCGGCATTGAATGGACATAATTGACCAGCCATTTGACTTCTGCCGTGCAGTCTACCGTCCCCTTGCCTTTTTCTTGCGTCTCTCTCTCTGTATCTCAAGTGGACCGGCTGTGCTGTAAGTTAAGCTCAAACGGCTTGATGTTTGCCCCAGGTGCTGCTCATAGCATATGCAGCACGCCGCAGATTTGACTGTGTGTTGTCCAGTCTGCAGTCTCCAGCTTTAAGCAAGTGTTCAGTGTGTCTGAGTGTGTAAATCCAGACATTCCCGGTCGACTTCTGACGAACCTTTCTTCTCACTTTGCAGCTTTCAATAGAGTAAGGACCAGTGCTGCGCTGGTGCGTCGCTCCGCTTTGCTGCGTTGCCAGACTCGCGGTGTCGGTGTCCAGCCAACGCACAACTGCGCAGCCAGGCCCAACCGTCACGGCGCCCTCCGCTGGCCAGAGCACCCAAGCTCAGCAAGCGAGGCGTGTGTGCTGCCGAGGCTGGTGGTGGGCACCTTGCTTTCACTAAGGCAGTGGGGAATCAATTTGCTGCACTCGTGCCATTCCAAGCTGCTTGGCCGCCTGACTAGCCTGCGAACAGGCAGCCTGCGCTGCAGGCATGAGACCGCGCGGCCGATGGCGGCTAGCCTGCGTGGCGGCCCAGTCGCACGCATGGCAAGCTAGCAACAGCTCGAACATGTTGCTACGGTTCGGTTTGATCTGTGATGTGATTCTGTTCAGCAAATACAGACAACTACACGTTCAAAGGTTGGTGCTCAGGCGGGCGGCTCGCCACTGCAGATGCGCACTGCCGCGAGCTTGTCAAGCAGCAGCGAGCGCAAAGCCATCGGGGTACCCTACCCATACACGTTTCACCAGCGTTCCTGAAGTGCAAACCCAGCGGCCGCGCAGTGTCTCATCAAAATTCGCGCCGCCAGCGCAGCATGAAATGTGCAGGCATGCCCAGCGGAAGGGGGATGGTATCGAGGCATAGGGCATCGTGCAAAGTTGGGGGCCTCCGCACAGCAGCGCAGCTGCTCGCTTGCCAGACCGCTGCTCGCGCTCCAAGCCTGCTGAAGCAGTCTTGAGGCGTGAGATGTCGCGCACGCATCAGCACCAGTGGCCGAGCCAAAACCCTACTGCTCGAACCCATGCCTGGCTTTGTGGGCCTGCGTGCTGCCAGGCGTGCCGCGTAGAGATCGCTGCATGCACCCACCGCGCTGGCGGATGCCTCGCAGCTAGCAGCCGGCCTGCCATTGTGACCTCAACATGCTTGCCCTCGTCTCCCTGCCCCTGGTCGCTGAAGCCAGCTTTCATGGCTGCGTTTGCTCTTGGCAGATGCGATGAGATCAGCTGCACTGGCCAGCTCCTTACACTCGAGGCACACAAAAACACACACGCTCTGATCAGCGGGCCGCATGCTCTGGAAGCGGGGCCAAAGGGCCGCCGTGCGCGGAAAAGCGCAACGCTCGGCGGGCGTGGCCCAAAGTGAGAGGCACGTGCAAAGCTGCTGCCACCTGGGCCGTTTCACGCAGCCCAGGGTTTGAAACGGGGGCGCGCATCAACAGCGCCGCGCGCACTGCTGGCAGCAAGCAAGAGGCGCCCTTTGCTCGGTGGGGACAGGGCCTGGGCGCTTCGCCGCTGGCTGCCGCCGCTGCGTAGCCGCCGGTGTGGCTCTTCAGGTGCGCATTTACCTGCGGGAGCCCGTGATCGCCAGGGGGCAGGGGCAAGGCGGTCAGGTGCGGGAACGCCCGAGCGCGGGAAAGCGGAGGCTGGGCCAGGGTGTGGCCTATGTCGTCCCTGCGATTGTTCCGCCGCGCGCACATACCCGCCAGCGTGCCCACTCACGTCCAAGTGAATTGCAGGCTCAAAACCCCTTATGACACACATGCATGCTCATGCGCAAATACACACACACACACACACACACACACACACACACACACACACACGCACGCAAACGAACACACACACACACACACACAAAGTGTGCGCACACACACACGCAGGCAAGCTCGTGACCTCACACACACACACACACACACACCCTCACACACCAGACCCTGGCCTCACCGGGGGCTGACGGTGATGTTGTCGGCGGTCTCCGTGAGGGTGCCGGCCTTGAGCTCGTTCACCACCGCCAGGGGCCAGCCAAAGCCCTCGACCGAGAGCTTGAGGGCCGCGGGCACGTCGATGATGATCTCCTTCTCGGTGGGCTTGGACTCGGCCTTGGAGGCGATCAGGTACTGGCGGCCCACGTAGCCGATCCAGCCGGCGACGTACAGGAAGCCGATGGTGGGGATCTGGGGGGTTTGGGAAGGATGGGGGGGGGGCGGTTGATGAAGACGGTCCGAGGATGGGAACGCAGGGCACGCTGGTCCCTTGCTGTTACGTACTGCTCCCACGTCGCACCTCGCCCACAACCGTCCTCGCCAAGGTCAGGTCGCACATGCTGTCGACACACCATGTGCCTTCCCCTCCGCACTTGCATAGCATGTCAACTAGGCAGCACTTGAGTCGCGCAATCACGCCGCGCGGCCGCCCATGCAGGTGCAACACCGATCGCGGCCACTCACGAAGACCTCCCCGGCGTGGCCGAAGCGCAGCGCCAGCCCGGGGTCGCTGATGAGGTGGGGCAGGCCGTCGTTGCCGCACAGCAGGCCGGACTTGGCGTAGTTGGCGAAGCGCTTCTCGGTGCGCTCGATGGTGGCCTTGATCGCCAGGGCGGGGGCGCTGTCGGCCTCGTACTGGGCGGATTAGGAGAGGCGCGGGTGCGGGGCGCGTTTGAATCTGAATTCGGGCCGGTGCGGGTGCCAGACGTAAAGACGCACAGTTCAGGCTTATACCGCGGCATCACGCGCGCCAGAGGCATGCGATCTGGGGCGCCGCATGCCCCCCGCATGGGACTGACAGGCAGTGGTTCTCCTCCCCCAGCTGCTTCCCGTCGCGATCACAACAGATCTTGGGGCCCAGATCTGCACCCACGTTCTTGAGGCGCTTGGTCAGGCCCTTGACCTCGTTCTTGAGGCGCTTGGCGTAGGCGGCCGACTCGCTGCGGGGGAGGGGCCGCGGCGCAGCGACGCGCGGCGTCACACGGAGCACGGGAAATCCGCCGCGTCACCGCTGTTCGGCCGCGTTTGGCAGATGAAGGCCACCCAACCGCGCCGTTACACGGCGGCAGATCCCAACTAGTAGTCCAGGGCCGCCACACCGCTGCACAGCGCCGCCTGCGCCCACGTTGCGCACCGCACCTGCACGGGGTGAGGCCGGCGATGTCCGCGCGGGCGGCGTCCACAGCCGACAGGGAGGCCGCGCCCGCCAGCAGGGTGGCGGCGGCGACCTTGCCGAAGGACGCGGCGGGGCCCTCAGCGTGGGCGCGCACCACCACGGCCTTGCGGCCGACGGTGGCGCGGGTGGCCTGCAGAGCAACACACCAAGGGGCGGCGGCGCGCGGCACAGGCGACGTGGGTAAGCCGCGGTGGTCCGTGTGCGTTTTTGTGACAAAGGACTTGCCAATGACGCCTGTCGCGCCCACTGTCCTTGGCTGAGCGTGGGAACCGGGGATCACGGCTGCAGCGATCTCGGCTCTCGATGGTGCCAGCAATCCCTCCATCGCATCGCGTTCGTCGCGCAGAGCAGCTGCAGCTGCATCAAGCTCCTCAAACGACCACCCGCGCCCACTAGGCCATCCCGCTGCGCCATGGCGAGCCCTCCAACATGACCGCTGCTGCTGCTTCTCGAGTGGCCAGATGCACTCACGTGGATCTTCTGCTGGACCTGCATTTTGTCCGCTCCCGTTTATGCTTTGACAAGGCGACGAATGTGGAGGCGTGGAGGGGCAAAGGCAAGTTGGCGAGTCAGGGGTTTTAGCGTTTAGTGAGTCGAGCCGAACCTCCTGTGCGACGCCCGTCGCGTTGCGCGTATCAGATAAGGCGATATTCTTCGTTGCAGAGATGCAGCATCTTGCCACGCATGGTCCTTGCGGCGACGGGTATGACGGCCAGCACAGCACTCACAGCACGCACAGTGATGATGGCACCAAGACCCATCGCACCAGACGATGCTCCTGGAAAGGAGGCTTGCATCCCTCCCCATCACTCCTGCAGCTTGCGGACATGCATGGACTGGGCAAAGTTGCGAGTGCACCATAGTCGACCCTGTGCAGCAAGTGACCAGGCAAGCTGCTGCAATTTCCCAGGATCCAGGCAGCAGCCGACCTGCTCAGGTCAGGTTCCGGGGGCGCATCACCCCCAATTGCAAGATGCAGGGCGTGCAGCTGTGCCTGGAGAGGAAAATGGCCATTGTGTAACACATCGTAGGATTTGGCGGGTGTGCAAGATGATTGATAGTTGGTGCCTGCATGAACACGATTGCACGGCAATTTTTGAGCTGGGTTGCAAAATGGGCGGAGCAGGCTGTTGAAATTGATACAATCAAGTTGGGGAAGGCTTAAAGCGCTCACAAGGGGGGGATCTTGGCCGTGCCGCAGGCGCACAATCACAGTTTGCAACCCGCAAAGCGAGCTGCAAGTAAAAGAAGCAAGGCACTCTTCAGGCTTGACCGGCCGGTACCAAGCCCAGCCCCACAGCAAATCGCAGGGGCGGCCAGCACATACGGCCCTTACACTAGCGGGGCCTCAAGCGCCGCCGCCGACCCCCTGCAGCCGCAGCAGGTTGTGCAGGTGGATGCAGCAGGCGATGGTCACTGTGTAGTGCAGAATGTGGTGGTCCGTCATCATGAAGGGGAGCCGCTCCTTGAGGGTGGGAGTCACAGGGGGCAGGGGAAGAGCGGAGGCACGTCGTGTCAACCGGGGCGATGGACGAGCCGGGCTGGAGCGGACCAGCGGCGCAGGCAGGCACGAGCGGCCGGGCAGGCGCACCACGAGCGCGTCGCTGCTGGCGGGGCG